CCAGTTCCTATCTGGTTAGACAGTGAAGCTGTGGCCTAATAATATTTTTTGTGCATGTGGCTGCCAGCTCTGTCCTGCAAGCAAAAGGATTAAGATCGCCTTGCGGGAGACCCATTGTTGTCGTAAGACAGATAGTGCTGGACGATGATTTGATGGTGGCTGAATATGAAACAAACGAGAAGTGGTTATTCGATCTTGTTGTTTTTGATACGGTTATCAAAATCGATATTACATGCTTCCCTTTAATAGTACCTCACAACAGGTGACGTGCACATGACCTCTCAAAGATCCTGTGGATCGTAATTTCAGAGTGAAGCAGGTATTGCCACGATCAGTTTGAGTTGGTTAACAGATACTAGACATTCTCAATAGCGGAACATCACCACCACGAGCACCAAAGCACGTCCAGATTTGCCGTCACATCGATGTCGTCAGCCGCCTGATGACGTCATTGGGAATCTGTTGCCGATCGTTTCTTCAGTGCGAGATCCATACAAACTTCCCCTTGCGACGATAAACCAGAGCACGACCATCATTATATAATAAGTAGAATCTTCCTCAGTAAAAAGCAGCCTCAGCCAGTCACATATATGCCAGCGTTGTACTGTCCTTGTCCATTGCCGCTAGGTCGTTGTTGTTCATCGATAAAGGCCATTCCAAGGAAAAGGCGGCAGGCTCGAATACCTGTGACACGGATACGTCGTTGTTTAGATGCTTATTTGACATAAAATATTCATGACTGCAATGACAGTAGTATAACCATGCATAATCACAGATTGGTTACTTTGATAATGATATCGGACGTTACATCCCAGACCCCCAGGCCTCATTCGCGTCCTACGGGATCATCGTAAATCTGATACAAAGGTCAGATGAAACAAGATCATCAGGCCAGTCACATACAAAGGTCAATGGAGACAGGATCACCAGGTCAGTCACATACAAAGGTCAATGGAGACAGGATCACCAGGCCAGTCACATACAAAGGTCAATAGAGAGAGGATCACCAGGTCAGTCACATACAAAGGTCAATATAGACATGATCACCAGGCCAGTCACCTACAAAGGTCAATAGAGACAGGATCACCAGCACAGTCACATACAAAGGTCAATAGAGACAGGATCACCAGCACAGTCACATACAAAGGTTAATGGAGACAGGGTCACCGGGCCAGTCACATACAAAGGTTAATGGAGACAGGATCACCAGCACAGTCACATACAAAAGTCAATGGAGACAGGATCACCAGGCCAGTCACATACAAAGGTTAATGGAGACAGGGTCACCGTGCCAGTCACATACAAAGGTCAATGGAAACAGGATCACAGCACAGTCCGCTACTAAAATCTTTTCATACAGAGATCAGTAGAGACAGCATCACTGTAAGTCTGATACAGAATGTGATACAATTGAGATAGGATCACTGTACAGTTTCATTGGAAAACCCTTTCATACAAGGTTGTTGTACAGTCCGATAATACGGCATTGTCATACAGGATCATCATAGTCCGGTACAAAGGTAAGGTCATACAAAATTGTTGAACAGTCCGATACAAAGGTCAGATGAGACAGTGTCATCATCACAGTCTGATACAGAGACCAGTTGAGAAAGGATCACTGTACAGTCTGATTAAAAAATCTTTTCATAGAGGATTATCGTACTGTCTGATAATAAGGCATTGTCATTCAGGATCATCATACAGTCCAGTGCAAAGGTCAGGTCATAAAGGATCACCGTACAGTCAAGTGCAAAGGTCTGACCATACAGGATCGTAATACAGTTAGGTGGATATGCTTTCCTGAGGCAAAAGTAACACCATCGGCAGACGTCAAAGTGTGAGAGTATAGTCCATTGTGTGATGGAGGTGAAGGTTTGTAGAGAATGTGGACATGCCAAGGTCAGCTGCGAAAGGTGGAGAACTGTGATCGATGTAGCTTTTAGTGAAAGAATGTCGCCTCATCAGTTTGATGATAAAATATTTTAAAAAATATAGCCACACGTTAATTTGGGAATTACATTGTGGAAAACTTTCAAATTGAATGGAGGATAGATGAAAAAAAATACGTAGTGTAAAAGTATATGTGAAATGTATATGAATATTTTTTGTGGTTGTAACTGTTGTACTTGGATACATGACATAGACTGGATGTGTGCTACATGGAGAATTAATCAGGAATAATCACATGACATTACACATATTTATTCCTCATATTCAACTTTTTGGAATGTCGAGTTTATGGTTTAGTGTTGTCATCATCTGTTCGCCTAGCCTCAGGGAGGATGTCTAGCACAATTACACTTTTGAAAATCTTCAAAGAATAGTTTTTTTCTGAAAGCAGACAATCTGACGGAACCGGAAACATTGACATGATGTCTAGCTATTCAAACAGAATCAGATTTGTTCATAATATGCAAGTAAAATAGGAAATTTTTTTTTTTCAAAATAGCTTCAAAGTCCCAAAATGTGTAATGATGTTCGCAAAACAACTGGTGTGTTTATGAAGGCCCAGAACACGACTTGATTTCTACATGTTATGGAACTGACATTTTATCCAATTGTGGAAAATGTTATTAGTTATTTCGAAAAGAGAAGATGGTGCACATATTCATCACAATAGTATACTCGATATGGTGATGCATAATACATTCGATTTCTTATCCAGTGCAAAGAACGATGAAATACTATTCAAGAAGTAGGTAAGTAATAAAAAAATGTGAACAAGGGTAAACATTCTAACGAAATATCAAGAAATACACAACACATTCAAGTCCACACTTCAAACTAATTTATTCATTGGATAAACAACAGTATTAAGATATGAATATTGGGCACATTTCCTATGCAGTCTAACAGAGTTTCTTATTTAAAAGCAATCACATATTGTGACATAGTAACTGTAAACAATGAAACATGTACTGGGGATAAACACAATATAGCAATTATTTATAAATGTATCTAAGTACAAACCAAATGTCAAGAAAATTACACAAATGTGTAACTGTGTTTTTCCACTCATATTTTTCAGGTATAGTATTGCACCAGTTGGTCAGGATCAACTCCATCACAATAAAGTCTGAAGAACTGATAACACTAATTGCAACATTCTGAACTCACTACCTTAAACTGCCCATTATGTTTGTTATTGGCAGTGTTATTTTATGATGAAATAATCGACTTAAGACATGACATTTCGAAGGATCGGTTTTCTTGTGTATTTTATCATCCTACAACAAAAAAACAACATGTCTTCCAAATTGAAATGGTTTCTTTTAACCAAGCGATACCGATGCTTGAATATATGCAATGATTGATGTGACTACATGAACTTGATTTTGCGTATCTGACTTTCACCACACACATACAGTGTGTCATGCCTATCTACATGTATCGCGCAAAGAACACAATGTACGGCCTGTGACGTGGCAACATCTCCGACATACTCCGCTGAATCTGTCAGCTGTATCATCTTCTTGGCTTTCATGTCTGCAAGCAGGATGTCTCCTGTGCTGGTAGTTGTGATACCAGCAGGCATACTGAGAGCTCTGTCTCCGGTAGGGGCGTATCTCCACACAACACCCCCCTCTGGCGTCACACATGTTACAGACTTCTTCTCACAGTCAGACACGAGTATGTTGCCCTTGTTGTTGACACACATGTTGTAGGGCATAGCAAACAATGCATCCTTGTTGTGTGTGGTGTCTAGCTATTCAACCAGAATCAGATTTGTTCATAATATGCAAGTAAAATAGGAATTTTTTTTTTTTTAAAATAGCTTCAAAGTCCGAATATGTGGAAGGATGTTCGCAAAACAACTGGTGTGTTTATGAAGGACTAGAACACGACTTGATTTCTTCATGTCATGGAACTGACATTTTATCCAATTGTGGAAAATGTTATTAGTTATTTCGAAAAGAGAAGATGGTGCACATATTCATCACAATAGTATACTCGATGTTGTGATGCAGAATACATTCGATTTCTTATTCGGTGCAAAGAACGATGAAATACTATTCAAAAAGTAGGTAAATCATAAAAAAATGTGAACAAGGGTAAGCATTCTAACGAAATATCAAGAAATGCACAGCACATTCAAGTCAAACTAAGTCTTCAAACTAATTTATACATTGTATGAACAACAGTATTAAGATTTGAATATTGGGCACATTTCCTATGCAGTCTCACCTTTAAATAAAAACAGAGTTTCTTATTTAAAAGCAATCACATATTGTATCTAAGTACAAACCAAATGTCAAGAAAATTACACAAATGTGTAACTGTGTTTTTCCACTCATATATTTCAGGTATAGTATTGCACCTGTTGGTCAGGATCAACTCCATCACAATAAAGTCTGAAGAACTGATCACATTGATTGCAACATTCTGAACTAACTACCTTAACTGCCCATCATGTTTGTTATTGACAGTGTTATTTTATGATGAAATAATCGACTTAAGACATGACATTTCGAAGGATCGGTTTTCTTGTGTATTTGATCATCCTACAACAAAAAAACAACATGTCTTCCAAATTGAAATGGTTTCTTTTAACCAAGCGATACCGATGCTTGAATATATGCAATGATTGATGTGACTACATGAACTTGATTTTGCGTATCTGACTTTCACCACACACATACAGTGTGTCATGCCTATCTACATGTATCGCGCAAAGAACACAATGTACGGCCTGTGACGTGGCAACATCTCCGACATACTCCGCTGAATCTGTCAGCTGTATCATCTTCTTGGCTTTCATGTCTGCAAGCAGGATGTCTCCTGTGCTGGTAGTTGTGATACCAGCAGGCATACTGAGAGCACTGTCTCCGGTAGGGGCGTATCTCCACACAACACCCCCCTCTGGCGTCACACATGTCACAGACTTCTTCTCACAGTCAGACACGAGTATGTTGCCCTTGTTGTTGACACACATGTTGTAGGGCATAGCAAACAATGCATCCTTGTTGTGTGTGGTGTCTAGCTATTCAACCAGAATCAGATTTGTTCATAATATGCAAGTAAAATAGGAATTTTTTTTTTTTAAAATAGCTTCAAAGTCCGAATATGTGGAAGGATGTTCGCAAAACAACTGGTGTGTTTATGAAGGACTAGAACACGACTTGATTTCTTCATGTCATGGAACTGACATTTTATCCAATTGTGGAAAATGTTATTAGTTATTTCGAAAAGAGAAGATGGTGCACATATTCATCACAATAGTATACTCGATGTTGTGATGCAGAATACATTCGATTTCTTATTCGGTGCAAAGAACGATGAAATACTATTCAAGAAGTAGGTAAATAATAAAAAAATGTGAACAAGGGTAAGCATTCTAACGAAATATCAAGAAATGCACAGCACATTCAAGTCAAACTAAGTCTTCAAACTAATTTATACATTGTATGAACAACAGTATTAAGATATGAATATTGGGCACATTTCCTATGCAGTCTCACCTTTAAATAAAAACAGAGTTTCTTATTTAAAAGCAATCACATATTGTGACATATATATAGTACCTGTATACAATGAAACATGTACTGGGCATAAACACAATATAGCCATTATTTATAAATGTATCTAAGTACAAACCAAATGTCAAGAAAATTACACAAATGTGTAACTGTGTTTTTCCCCTCATATTTTTCAGGTATAGTATTGTACCTGTTGGTCAGGATCAACTCCATCACAATAAAGTCTGAAGAACTGATCACATTGATTGCAACATTCTGAACTAACTACCTTAACTGCCCATCATGTTTGTTATTGACAGTGTTATTTTATGATGAAGTAATCGACTTAAGACATGACATTTCGAAGGATCGGTTTTCTTGTGTATTTGATCATCCTACAACAAAAAAACAACATGTCTTCCAAATTGAAATCATTTGTTTTAACCAAGCTATACCGATGAATTCAATCATTGATGTGACTACATGAACTTGATTTTGCGTATCTGACTTTCACCACACACATACAGTGTGTCATGCCTATCTACATGTATCGCGCAAAAAACACAATGTGCGGCCTGTGACGTGGCAACATCTCCGACATACTCCGCTGAATCTGTCAGCTGTATCATCTTCTTGGCTTTCATGTCTGCAAGCAGGATGTCTCCTGTGCTGGTAGTTGTGATACCAGCAGGCATACTGAGAGCTCTGTCTCCGGTAGGGGCGTATCTCCACACAACACCCCCCTCTGGCGTCACACATGTCACAGACTTCTTCTCACAGTCAGACACGAGTATGTTGCCCTTGTTGTTGACACACATGTTGTAGGACATAGCAAACAATGCATCCTTGTTGTGTGTGGTGACTGACCTCAGCACGTATCCCGCCATGTCCAGGATATCGACACAGTCATCAGTACCTGCTGCGAGAGATGAAGGACCCAGAACAGCGAGACTTATGTACGTTTTGCTTGTTGTTATGGTCGAGAGAAGCTTCAGGTCTGGGGTCACTTCAACTGTGACAATCTCACGGGACGCAGCAACAGAAACCAGCACCTGGTTCTCCTTCAACCTTGTTACACAACATAGCAGTTCACCCAGGGGGAGTTTACTATGACATGGCTTCTTTTTTCTGGTGTAGAAAGATTTCAATGAATTGTTCCCCATGTCACTGACTACAATTGTTTGTATACCGTCTACAAATAGAACTGTGATGTCCTGTAGATCCGGTTTCCCCTCATCACTCGCCATCCTTCCATCTATCATGTCCACCCGCACTGGAGACGGCAGACATGTACTTTGATCCTGGCGTGTGACGTCAATCTTCCCCAACTGAAGCTCATTCAAGATGTACTGAATATTGTGTATGTCAGGCATAAACCTGATGCCATCTATTTCCTGTTTGTCTACTGTGTCTGTGTCCCTGAAATCCCCCAACTCCACAACCCTCGACTCCCAGGCCTGATACGCATCATACAGGTCCATCTCACAGTCCGATACCAAGGCCTGGTCAATGAACTCACAATGTTGTTTGGACATCTGCATCTCAATCTCTTCAGATTTAACAACTGCTTTAAGTTGCATAGTTTGTTTGTCTGAAATATCCCTGACTTTATTTATCAGTTGTTTTTTTTTCTGCTTGATGTTGGCGATGACTCTCTCAACAACAGATTTGATGTGACTTTCTGCTGCTACTTTATTTTTCTCAATTCCGCTAATCTTCTTGTTTGTATTCTGAACAATTGTTTGTTTCCTGTGTATATTCTTTGACAATACATTAGCCTTCTCTCTCAAATTGTGGGTCATGGTTGGCAAGATTGACTCTAAGGTAACGACAGACTCACATTTCCTATGGTAAATAACACAACATGTCTGACACACAGCTTTGTGGCAGTCTTCACAGACAAGCTTTACAACTTCATCCTTGTGTTCCCTGCACATGATCTTGCGCCTCCTCTTCACCTTCACCTTCCCGGAAAGGTCACAGATCTCATGGCCATGTGATGCAGGATTTGCACGATGCATCTTGACACATCTCTCGCAGAGAGACACTTTACAAATGGAACACCATGAGGCTCCCGGAGTTGTCTCCCCTAACTTCTCACACACAGAGCAACATGAAACGGAACCTGTAAGTGGACATGTCTGTAGTTATTTGACAGATCATCATATTTGTTTTATACATCAAAAGATGAAAATGAAACGAAAAGCCCCTGATCTATTTTCAAGTAAGTTAAAGCAGGTGGGTTAGGGTAGGAGATTAAGTGCTGGTCCATCACGCTGAAGACTCGGGTTGGATTCCTCACATGTGTTTAATGTGTGGAGCCCAATGCTTGCCACGATGCATGCTAACATTGGCGTAATACTCAACTCACTCACTCACCTAACAGGTACATTTACACTTTACAAGCGTGAAGTACTGATCAATATTATCTATCTGTAACATTCTATAATTACCCTTTACACACAGCGTCATTTGTACACCTTTTTAGACAATTTGTTTTCCAGTGCATTATGGGTCACCTTAACATATATTTATATACATTATGGTAGCGTCATGTTCGCCGCCAATAATCAACATGGCAATAAGTAGTTGCATGGCCAGTGCACACTGACCTTAAAAAAATACACATTGCATCTTTGTTCCTAAGACTTGTTTACAGTTTACAGAGGCATGCTTTTGACAAATTCGTCTTATAGATAAATGTATATTTTCTGGTGTTGTTTAGTTGTTATCCTTGGAACAGTCTGTTGCTGTTATGATATCATTATACTATACTTAAAAAACAAGCACCATTTAATCTTACAATGCCATAAAAATATTTTTATTACAAGATGTATGTTTGCAAAATTCATACAAAAAAAACAAACTAATACCTGTTTTGACAACGTCAGCTTGTGTGTCAATCAGCCCCTGTATAATGATGCTGGGTTTGATCTGCCCTGCCCACTCCTCCACAGGCCTGCTGGGGCTGGGGACCTTGGTATCTTGTCGACAGAAGGCACAGGGGATCGCTTTGGACTGTATAGCATCTGGTCTTGTTTGGATGTATCCTGTGACACATTTCCTGCAGAATGTGTGATCACATCTCAGTGTACAGGGGTCTGTGTACAGTTCCTGGCAGATCACACAAGTGAGGAACTCCGTCACTTTCTCAGCCTGCGACGTCGCCATCTGCAGTAACCTAGAGAATTGTAATGTTTGTAGAATCCAATTGCAGTGTAACATATTAGCATAGTGATTACTGCTATATGTAGGATAGCTCCATCAGACGGGTAACCCACTGATTTAAGCACTTGTTTGCCTTGCCAAAGTACTGGATTCGTTTCCTCACTTTAATACTGCATGTGTTCTCCCGTTTCATATCAATGCCCTTCAGCAAGCCTACAGTGATAACACAGAGTCCCACCACAGCACGCCATTTGGGGGGGGGGGGGGGGGGGGATTTTAGTCCCATATCGTCACCTCTTTCGACCAGTAAATACTTCCTCCCAACATTTACTGAAACTATTTTGTTTTGCTACTTTGTCTTTGCACCAGTTTCATCCGTTACCAGACTAAAAGACGTCATACGTCGGTAACAAGTTTGAACGGTTGAATGAAGCGCTCCACCAATGGCTGACAAACATGGTTGCAAATCAGTATGATAAATGGGATAGTTCACTCAAACACCATATTAATACGCGGACTGTAAAGCTGAGCGAGGTTAGTTTGAAAAGTTGAGCATCATTGATCGAAATTAGGTCTGAAACATCGATTATTGTAAGATTGAGATATAAGGGTAAGAGATTACCTTCGTGTGATTCCGAATCATAAATATCAAATATGACGAATGCATAATACATGTATGTAGTATTCTCGCCAGAAGATCGCACAATGCAATGTTTATTTCATATATATGGTATTTGTGACACGGAATCACACTCAGTTATTACTCTCTATTTCACAAGTGTACAGCTTACATAATCAAGAGATGGCTTTTAGTTTTGTTGTTCTGCAACACCACACTCAGCAATTTTACAGCTATTTGATGTCATTCTGTAAATAATGAAGTCATTTTGGCAGATAACCTACTGATCTATGATCTTTGCGATTGGGATACCATAACATGCATCAACCAAGTCCGCGGGCCTCCTGTTAGTCGCCTCTACAATATTGTTAATACTTGTTAATACGCGAAATACGGTAGAGAGGGCTTGAGTATCAGGGTCTGGTTGTGAAATGGACGTTTCATATTCACATAACGCCAACACCTTTCGTCGATATAAAGCTATGGTAATGAAAGTTTAAAATATACGCTTGAAATTACCTTGATAGTTCGACATAATTGTACTATTGGTGAAGCATGTTTAGGTCAAGAGCCCATAAAAAAACAAAAGTACAACTGCAGTTATGTGCACAGGGTACACAGTAGGCCCAGAGTTCACTCTCTACAACTATCTAGCTACCATATCGCCTCATCCAGTCATGGCATAAAATCAGTTTGTCAACTGAGGACTGCGGATCGACCATTGAGAAAGTGTCTTACGGCGCACTTATACGTCTTGGATTGGCTGTGAATCATAGAATATGTTTAAAATATCTATACCAATCTCTTCCATAATCATTAACCTCCCCCAAAATACTTTGGCTGGCCCAACGAAATCTCAACCGGTTTATGTTTTTTCACCTGGAATCCTTACGTCTTGATCTAAAATACAAGGTTTATAATAGACAGATCTTGAATACAGTGGAAGATTCCAGCTTGACGCAAGTGTACACATTTATGTGAGACAAAAACTATTCAATTTCAGATATTTTCCATGTCAAATAATGTACCATAAAATGTAATCGTGTAATATTCGTAATATTAACTGATGTTGAAAGTGTAAAGTAATCGTGTACATATGTATATATTTATACCATGTTATGTCCAGTACAAACACTAAACCTACCTCTGAGTTGTCCCCTGTCCTGTGTTTGTGTGATATCTTTCTAGTCACAAGATCAGTATACGCCCACACCATGTGATCTGCCTGTGTAAATCAGATTAGTAATGTTATCTTTGACACTGGTCTTCACAAGATAAACAAATCAGATAGACAGTGCAGACTCGTTTGTAAGAAGAGTGGTGTATCTCTGAAGCATATTTGGTGGAAGAAGTGAACGTTTGGAGCCAAATTGTCATAGTAAAGACACCATGTTTATGCTCCTCCATACACGATGCACGATGCAAATCTTTCCACTGAGTCTTCTGGTAGGGTTAACCTGGTATGTGGGATCAACACCGTGGAATAGTTGGGTGATATTTAAGGATTTTGAGGACAAATTGTATAAAATCGTGAAGCAAACTTAATCGTCCTTTCGTAGATTAAAAAGCGAACATGCCGTTCGCCAATCACGCGGCAAACAACCATCTTGGAATAGTGACTGGCACAAGCGTGAATTGGAAATTGAATTTTGGGTTCCGATGGCTATATTATCACTGTTACTTAAGCACGGGACAAAATATATGTTGTAATAAATTGTAACATCGGCGAGTCTTGTTTCCTGATTGACGAAGTCTGTTGAAGGTTGACCTTGACGTGAGTTTCAAAGTTGTAGACCAGTTCATTTGTCATTCGTACTGTTTTGGCTCTTGTTTTAACATGTCGTCACTTCCTTAACCCATATTGATGATCATGAATGAGTTTTCGTCATCATATTCAGATAGTATATTGTTAAAAATACCACAGTAGAGTTTATATGACACACTTGCAAAACCAACACCACAGTAAGAAAACGTTTCTCTGACGTGAGAACTGGACCGGAGTTGGACCAACTAGAGGGTACATACCAGTCTCCAGTCAGAATAACCTGTGAAAGTATCCAATACAACCGTTATGTATAAAACATCAACTGATATATTATCACATCCAGGCCAAATTCAACTTGTGCGTGACGTGTCTCACTTCTTCCAGAGTTATTGAGGTATTAAAGTCTATCTACGTTGTCCTATATAATCACTGATTGTTTGTGAGAATAATCGTGGATTGGAATAGTTTATATCCCTCCTTCAGGCCAACTACTGGCCAACACAGCGCTCTCCCCCTACCTGAATATTAACAACAGATCTATGTATGTATGTATGTATGTATGTATGTATGTATGTATGTATGTATGTATGTATGTATGTATGTATGTATGTATGTATATATGTGTGTGTGTGTTTGTGTGTGTGTGTGTGTGTGTGTGTGTGTGTGTGTGTGTGTGTGTGTGTGTGTGTGTGTGTGTGTGTGTGTGTGTGTGTGTGTGTGTGTGTGTGTGTGTGTGTGTGTGTGTGTGTGTGTTATTCATGTCTGGGAGACCATAGGCTCATGTACATTTTAGTTATATATAGTAACACACAACTGAGGCAAATTACATTGAGAATAATACAAAGGATACAATGTTGGGTCTTTGTACGTAATAATAGAGCTTCCTTCACATACGTAATTATATTTCTGAGTGTACAGCCATTTTGGCTATTTTAGAGATTGCTAGAAGTATTAATACATTGATTGTTATAGAATCTTACATGAATATACTTTTGTCTTTATGATGCGTAAAAGGGGCAGACAAACACAAAATTGGCTTCGTCCTCAATACAACCATTGTTAAATAGCCGACAAAAGCGTTGTGAATAAACAATAACCTCTCTTCTGCCCAGATTACTCCGCAAAGGCGATTCACTTAATCTCAAAAGGCACAGCATACGTCTATGGTCTCTATTTCTGAAAGCTGTAACATAATATTCCATATCCAAATATATCTTGACGTGTGAATAATACCTTAATTTACAAGACTCACAAATTTTCATCTGAATACTCTGTTTTTTACAATCCAACAAACGCTGTCTAAACAGCTGCAAGAATCAATTAACTCACCAATATTCTGTTCGTGCTACACATAACCAAATCCATAAATGTCGAGTTAATATTTAACATTAGTTTTCCGAGAAGATATGTTTCTACATTTAAATAACGTGGTCATTTTGAAAATTATGGTCGATAAATGTAATAAGGAGATAATAACCTTCTTGTTTAATTTAAATACACACAAGTAAATACCTAATGATATTACATATGCAGTATCATTTGATAGACACAGTAAACATTTTCTTTCCAAAAGAGAAATGTTCTGTCATCTTCACGTTTCATCAGGTCGGCAGTGACAAGAAAGTCTGACATGATCATGAACGGAACTAGTTTTACATTTATTAGATAAATTGTGTGGATAAAATTTAATGTAAGTATTTTGTTTAATTGTCTTATAGAATCTGCTTGTACTTTCTCGGCCAGATTTCATTTTTGAATATATAGATTTGAAACAGTATATTTCTTTATTTTATGGGGGCGGTCAGGTAGCCTAGTGGTTAAAGCGTTCGCTGGTCACGCCGAAGACCCGGGTTCCATTCTCGACATGGGTACAATGTGTGATGCCCATTTCTGGTGTCCCCCGCCGTGATATTGCTGAAATATTGGTAAAGGCGGCGTAAAACCATACTCCCTCACTCCCTCACTACAGCGACATTAAAGCCTGTCTTGCCTCTGATGCTATCGTGTGTAATGCTACAAGTTTATGTCTTTCTGGTCACATGCACATTTCGCAGTTTACGTGGCATGCTCAAATCACTGAAGAATATTTGACATGTTATCAAGAGCCATACTAAACCAAGCTGTCCATCACAGAATGATGACATGAATAACATAACTATGGCCATTACTGCCAGCAGTCCTAAAAAGAGTTTATTAGATGCAGATGTGGCTGGGCATAGTGGAATCAGGAAATTCAACATTGGGATGCGAGACGCCCAAGATTACTTCAACCGCTATGAATATGTCTGATTGTAATAAATGAATCGGAAATCGAAGCAAATGCATAAAACAAACATTGGAATAAAGCAAAAAAGCAGCCACAGTATTGTTTCAGGATACTGCCTGAGTGAATTCCAGTGATGGTCTTTCAACAAGGGTCATTGTTCAATGATTTGTCTTCATTGTGGCAGGGGCGGTCGGGTAGCCGAGTAGTAAAAGCGTTTGCTCGTCACGCGGAAGAACCGGATTCGATTCCCCAAATGGGTACAATGTGTGAAACCCATTTCTGGTTTCCCCCGACGTGATATTGCTTGAATATTGCTAAAAGCGGCGTAAAACTATGCTCACTCACTCACTCAT